AAAGGTCAGAGGTTCAATCCCTATCTTCCCCATTCTGAATTCCAATGCCAAAGTGTCCTTGGGCAAGATACCGAACCCCAAATGTCCCCTTCTAGAGAAAACTGCTGACATAGATGCGCTGTATGAATGTGTGTGTGAATAAAAAACCATACTGTTAAGCACTTTAAGTGGTCATCAAAACTAGATAAGCTCTATATAAATACACACCATTTACCACAATCTCATCTGTCTTCTACACATATGACACAGGGATATTTGTTTTTTTTTTGTGTTTTTAATTTTTGCGTCTGTCACGCATTAGAAGCATCATTAACCCCCCACTCACTCCCTGTGGATCTAGGGGTGGATCCCCTGCTGTGTTCTAACAGAGAATTCTCCTGAAGGAGAAAGTCCGCAGAAACTGTAGAGCCTCTCTTTTGCGTCCACACAGGCACCTTTTTCAGAGTATCTGCAGAGCCCAGTGCATGTCTGAAAGTCACACCAGGAGCCAGGACAATGCAGCAGGATTTGCGATTACTGAGCTGATTTTCTCCGGTTTTTCAGTCTTTCGACGCTGGTTCACTTCTAACCCCTGACCAATCAGATCTTGAGAGAGCCAGAGACACCGATCTACACGATCGTGACAGGGACAAAGGAGTTGTCTTTGTTGAATGTCACTTTGTTTTTCATCATAATTGAATTGAACTGCAGGGACCATTGTGTCTCTCTCCTATCATACTAAGAACTTTATTAATGGTTCTGACGATGTTGCTATAAATTAAAGACTCTGCCTTGTCTACTCGCTAGAAACAGGTAAACAGCTTCTTGGTACAGGTTATCCAAACAACCGATGTAAGGTTCGGTTGAACAAGATAACAGAAATATGAATACAACTCCAACTTCTCAGTTAGAGTTCAGTGCTAAGCAGATGTGAGCAAGGTGGGAGCTGCAGAAAGAAAGAGACCAATAACCAGGACAACCAATGGACCAATTCATTCTGATGTGGAGAGGGTCAAAGTCACCAGGGTGCAGTGACCTGGTATTTTTCTCAAGTAAAGTAGAACACACCTTTATTCACCAGCATGTCAGAGTGTCACCCTAAAGGAGACACTGACAGTTGTGCAGAGATGAGTCTGGTCAGCTGTGTTGGGTCTGTGTTAGTTAAGCTCTTTCTTGCTGTAAACAGATTATGCATGTGAATATGCAGATTCTGTCGGCAAGGGACAGGATTTTGGGGCTGAAGCCTTCTGGTTTCCCTTTCTAGTTTGACCAATCATGGCTGAGCCGGCTTTGGTTGCCCACAGGTAAACAGTCCTTGTTGGGAAAAAAAAAAGAGATGGACCTCATTGACAGAAATGCATTGGCTTTTGGCAGAAAACTGTTAATAGAGATGAGCCAAATGTATTCTGGACCTAAAACACCCAAATTATTGGCCATTGTCCCCAGAAGCGAATTCGTCATTAGACGATAGCCAATGGCTCTCGCTAGATTGTACTACTAGAAACATTGTGTCTGAAATCACTCTCCCCTTCACTCCTGAAAGATGTAAAGACATTTAAGGCCTACTTTCTAATTATACAAGATATTAAATGCATAATGCAATGTCTTGTGTTGTGTGTATTGTGGCTGTGCTCACAGAAGGTTGTCACAGGATTCTATCATATTGTGGGAGTTTTTTATTTTTAAGTGAATAAAAGATTACAGATCCTCAGACAATTTCAAATTTGTTTCCAGTCGTATGTTTTTATTTTTGCATGCTGTACAATGTCTCTATACAAATCTTGAATTCATTGAATGTTTAACCGATCAGCTAGAACAGCACTCCCTAATGTTAAAGTAAGTAGAAATTCCAAAATCCAATTCTTGTGTCCACCTGCATAATCAAAATTAATCAAATCCACTTCGATCATATATGTCATATGTGTATCATATAAGTGTTCCTCCTTGGTCCATGCACCACCCTCCCACCAAGTTTCAGTAACATTTGTATGTTATCCTGTCAAACAATCAGCAATGACACCAAAACCTCCTTGGCAGACGTAATGAATATTTATTTATTTCATGATTATATTTTAATTATGTTTTTTTTAATCATGCTGTTGCTGCAAAGTGTAGACCATAAACATGAGAGAAAAACTGACACACATGCCTGAAGGTGTTGCAACTCTACCACTTCAAAACAAGAATCACAATTTTCTCTGAAATAAGTGGAAACTGACAAAGGAAGTTGGTGTCCACTATTCACTATGTCATAGTTAATAGAACTGACAAGTTGCTTTTGATCTTCAATTCAACATATTATTTTGAATAATACAACAACTTGGCTCAGGAAGTAGAGAGGGTTGTCAAGTAACCAGAAGGCTGATGTTTGATTCCCGGCTCTTCCAGTCTACATTCCGAAGTGTCCTTAGGGAAAATACTTAACCCTGAATGGCCCCTGATTGCTGTGCCCACAGTGTGTGACTGGTGTGTAATAGACAAAGTGCTGCATATAGAAGCACTGCATTTATTAATGTGCGAATGGGTGATTGTGGATGTAAACTACTGTAAAGTGCTCTGAGGGGAAAATAGAAGTGGAAACGCGCTGTATAAATATAGTCTCTTTACTATTTACAAATAACAACAGCATGGACAGAAATCCTGGGATCCTTGACCCTCATTTTATAGATTTGTTCATTGTGTATTAATAACACTCAAAATTACCACACAATACTACAGAATCATACAAAAACTAACATTTTGTGCAGATAGAGGATGATTTCCATGATTAAAAAGATTGTCAGAGTGATCCTAGTAGGCTAATGTCAAAATAGTTATTTTCATATTACCCACTATAGGTTCACATCTGCATTGAAGCTTTTGCTTAGTTTTATTTTTTTTATATTACATTATTAAGTTACGAAACACAATGCAAAGGAACATACTTCTCACAGTGCAATAATAAAGAATTATAGTCGACTGTGACACTTTGCATCTAAGGAAAGAAAACGATGCCACCGACAGAAACTCAAACCTTCTCGACCAAAAACATGATCTCATAGAATACAAAGCAAACACTTTGTAACTTTCTGCTGTGAATCCTGTCTGTCTGCACAGGAGCTGTGTCACTGAGCAGAGAACCTCTCGCATTTTCCGGGAGTGTTGGGAAATCAAATGTTTGAGATGCCACTCTGTGACATCCAGTCCAGATGACAAATAACAATGCATCTCCAGACATGAATATGTATGTCGTCCTTTCTGCAGAGAGCGCAGCGCATCACCCAGGCAGAAACAATACCGCAGCAAAACCTCACGTCACATCAATGTCACTGTACCTCACCAGCTGCTCTCGCTTCTGACAACACAGCATGTCTGATGACTCAAGCCAGTGACAGTGATCTGAAATCTCCCTCTAATCTGTCCTCTAACTGTTCAGTTTGGCTTTACAGCCATACAGACCCTGTCTGTTGGCCTTGCATCATTAACAAGGTCATTTTACTCGTCCCACTGAGTCATGACAAATGTCCTCAGGGAAGATGACCGCTGCTTCCACCTGATTCTTTGTCCATGTGTACAAAAGCAAAAAGGTAACACTGACAGGGATGTTGGTCCACCCATCAACCAAGCTCCAGAACAGGACAGGTAAACAAATGGCTATGGTATGGTTACTCATCTTCTCTAACATTGTAGATTCAAATTAGTCATGAAACATTCTCAAGGATTCCTGTAACTTTCCTAAACAGCTCCTCTCAATTTTACTGCCATAAATATTTAGCCCTAGTTATATAAAACATTTTTCACAGATTTATTTTTATTAATTATCTACTGACATCCTATGAAAAATGCAGCATCATACGTTCAATATATACACTAACCATGTCCTTTATGTGCAATGAGTCGAACCATGCAGATACGTGTCAGTAGCTCCAGTTAATAAGCACATTCATAATGGGGAAAACGGGATCTCAAAGAATGTATGATTGTCGTAGATCTGCAGACGCCTTGTAGATGAAAAACCTCCGAGAAGAATGGTCAGACTGTTTGGCGCTGACAGAAAGGCGACAGTAACTCAGATAACCACTCTTAACATCTGTGGTGAGCGGAAAAGAAAGGATCGGATGTTTTAAAAAAGCAGAGACAACGTCAGGTTCCTCTCCTGTCAGCCTGTGACAGGAATCTGAGGTTCCAGTGACACGCACTTGCACACTAGCCTGCTCTGATGGATGTGGATTTCTGCTGAGGCTGCAGATGGTCGCCTGAGAATCTGGCACCAATAATAACAATCCACTGAGCCAACCCTGCCTTCTATCAACAGTTCAGGCCGCTGCCAGTGAGGTAAGGGTATGAGGAATGTTTTTTTTTTTTTTGGCATACTTTATGCCTACTGATACTGATAATCTATTTTTCAAAAGGGGACCATTTGCATCATTTTATATTCACCATCCTCGAAAGGCTACCTGCAGATGATAATTCATCATTCAAGAAAAATAATCCCAGGGGGGGTTTCAACATTTAAACACATCAGTTGACTCCTGATCTGAATCTAGAGGAACCAGTGTGACTGGCAGCATGACAAATCTGCCACATGGACCAGAAGGTCACAGGTTTCAAGCCTCTTACATATAATGACATGCTGGTGTTTAAATATGTTAACTTTTGGCATCCAGGTTACCTTGGTTCACTCATCTGGGTCTGCTTTAAGCCTTTGACCCATCATTAGAGCTCATTCAGCTATCAGAGGTCCATATCGATGAAATATAGCATTGTCACAAGATAATGTCTGATGCTGAGGAAACGCACCAAAGACAGACAGAGGTTCAGCCAAGCATCTTACTTGGTCATAGAGCCGCTCCACTAAAAAAGGAGAATATTGTGTGTGGCATAAGGAAAATATATCAGCAGGAACAAGAGAGAAGCTGATTAAGCAACATTGATTAATCAATCAGTCAAAATATCTTCACGGTGTAATTTTGCTGCATGAATCAGACTATAGGTATCACTATCACTGTTTACATGTAGGCACCATGAGAGTGAGCTCTTACCTGGACCCAAGGTGAGAGCACATGTGAATTTAATCAACAAGAAGCAGTGTTTGTAGGCAGGTGGCAGGCAGGTAACAAAATCCATAAACTCCAAAAACAGAATATCCAAAAATAAAACCCAAGAAGCAAGAAGGGAAGTTCTGAGGAATAACTAGGGACAAAAAGCAAGAATTTACCTTTTTAGAACCCGACAATAAACTGACGAAGAAGACTGGGGAGCACAGAGACTAGATACACAAGCAAGGCAAGGGTTACTGAGCACAGGTGAAACACATCATGGCAGGGTGGACAATTACAGAGGAGGGACACCAGACAGAGACAGGAAGTACAAGAGATAAGGAAGAACAAGGAAGGAAGGGAAGTACAAGAAAAGAGCTTAGAAGTAAAGCAGGGGCTAAGCAAGCAAAGTTTAAATCCATCCCAGTTCCTAAATAAGTCTAAATAATTCCATTTCCACAAGATCTGAAACGTCTTAACAGATACCTAGATGGGATAAATGTTTTCCTCAATATTATATATTTTCAGCTAAAGGAGCAGCAGCACTCAGTCCTGGGAAACTCAGGTCTAACAGCTACTGTCAAAATGCATTGTTCAATAGAAAAAATGCATAAACCTATAGGTTACAAACCTGAGGGCTTTAGTGTAATATTGAATAGACATTCAAATGAACATGAGATAAACATCAGGAAGGAAGAACATGAACATCATGACCATATTTTTTCAGTGTCTCATGTAGAGAAGTGTTGAGATGTGAATTTCGTCTGTATGTATATAGGTCTTGATAGTCTCCAGTCTTAATGACCGATCAAAGCTCTTTACAGTACAGTTTTGCCATCCACCCATTCTTACAGTGTATCCATGTGCAGCATATCACACATGAATATCACACACCATCGAAATACTGCTGGCACAGACATCAGGGCAATTTGGGGATTCAGTATCTTGCCCAAGGACACATCAGCACCTTCTGGTTTGAGAACAACCCGCTCTATGTTCTGAGCCACAGCCCCCGGCACATTTCCATTAACCTTTTAGAATCTACAAAGCTGTTGGCTGAGTTGTGTTGTTCACCATCTAAGTTGGCTCAAATGGAGGTTAAGGCACTGACAGCATCACTAACCACAGACACCAACCATCGACTTTATAGTTAACATGGATCAATTTGATCAGATGGCCAGCAGCTCACTCACAGTCCCACGGCTCCTGTTGTTGTAAACCAGCCAGACTTTTCCTAGCCCCAACAGTCCCTAGGATTCAATCAAGCTGCACAAAATTACACAAACGAATCAATATCAATACCACAGATATGCCTGTTTTTCTGCCATCAAGATCCATTAATTATTCCTTGGTGAAAATGTGAAAAATCTCCCTACCTGATTAAGAAGTAATAAAAGGATCCTTAATCCACCTGCACCAAAATGTAATGTGTTCTTCTTTCTTGGTCTGTGTACCATCCTTCCACCAAGTAGGGCTTCATGGAAATCTATCCAGTAGTTTTTGTGTAGTCCTGCTGACAATCTGACAGTCATGAAAACATAACCTCCTTGGCAGAGGTAAAAAGAGCTGATTTAGGACCAGTTAATTTATTGATGAGACAATGAATTGGTCTGCCAGAACTCTGGAGACAACCTGAAACATCTCCATTTAGAATTGATTATGGAGGCCTGCTGTGTGTGTGTGTGGCGTTCCTGCCTAAGAACAGAAGAGAAGTGTGAGAAAGACAAACCCATTCATTGATGAGGATCAGTAACCATGCAACATCTCATACTTAATATTTCCTCTTAATTAACTCAGGCTCAATTAGTGCCGTAATGAATGAAGTTTGGATTGAGCTATTCAAGTTAACACATATGGTGTCCAGTGAGTGTTAACATGAATGTTTCTTACATTATCCTGTCAAATGAACGCAGAGAAGCCCCCCCCCCCCCCCCCCTCCAAACACTTTGCTGTCAGATAGATAGTGTGTTCTGCTGAGTCCACACTGCTGAGGCTGTGTTACTGATAACGGCCTGACCTTCAAGTCGACTTACACTCAGAAACACAACGTACCCCGAGAGTATGAGCAAAGAAAGGTATTCTAACGGGAAAATTAATCTGATTGTTAGTTGCATCGTGTTCTTGTGTGTGATGACGGTGCAAAAAGAAAACACATTTTCTTTCACTGGACGGATAAAGAACACCCAATCAAAGAGTAAAGAAAGCGAGAGGAGAAGAGTGACGAAACTTATTGGAGGGGTTGGAGTGTGTCCAAGCAGATGAGGGGTGACTGATGGGCTGTCATGTGACTGGAAGTTTCAAGAGAGGTGACAAATAAAGCAGAAAGTGAGAGGGTCAGTAATCAGATCAAATCTGTATGAAGCCTCTTCTCTTGGAGAAATTTGGTAATAATCCCTAATTGCACTATAAAACCACCACCTACTAGTTTCAGTTGTGCCACAGAAAAATACAAGACACTTATTTTGTTTGGGCAATGATCTTGAGAACATCACTTCATGCTTTGTCTTAAAATGATGCCTATCACCAGTGTGTCATATGTACTACTTGTACTTTATATGTCATTTTACTTTCTGAACAATCTAAACCTAAGTCTTTAGAGCCTTGTACCATCAAAGCACAAATGCTTATTTATTATTACCAGTGCAGTGGAATGGATTGTTTGCTTGGCCTGTGGTAATCCCGGTTGCAGCTGTCGTTCTGAAACCGTAAAAGTTCAGTAATTCAGCCGCAGAGAGTAAAGACCGGCTGTAGAACCCTGACACTGCTGCACAAAGAGCTGTTTCCCTGACGCTGCTGCACAAAGAGCTTTTCACCAGTTTATTCCAAGGTCAGTAAAGCTCGACTAAGAACCCTGAACTGAATATTCAGTTGCCATTGTCACTGAACAGGTGATTATTCTCTGTGGTTAAATCCAATGACACCTCTCACATCACACAGTCATTTGATCCATCTTCACATAAAATGTTAATTATGACTTTAATTCAATTACAATGACCTTTGACAAGTTAAAATATCTTGTGAAGGGAAAAAAAAACATTTCTAATGAACTTCATTTTCCCTGTGACTGTCTGCAGTAGATCTGCTCCCAGTGTTGGAATCACTGCTTTTACCCTGAAATGTCGGATGTTGGTGAGTTCAGGCTTCTATGGATAATCAGTTATCATTGTTGCAGAGATACTTAAACTTTCATGTTTGAATGTGTCACTTTCTAAGTTTGCTGACTGGCACCAAGCTTTAATTTCGACTAATAGGGTCACGCTACATTATCTCAACTATAATGACAAAGAAAAAGAGGAGCTGAAACACGTTATTTTTAGAGAACTTCTCAAATTCACACTTTGCTGAGGTCAGGTTTAGAATTTTGTGTGTCATGAGATCTTTTAACTTTCTGATTTGCTCCTGTGAGAGTTTCTATCATCAGAGCAATAGTTTTGGTTCCATTACACCTCGGAGCTCGGCCCCGAATGAGACAAGTTCATAGGGTTGCACAGGAACAATGTTTACATTAGCCTGCTAGCCATTGTTGACAAAAACTGTTCATTATAGCACATTATGCGACATTTCACACATGCTAACACTGTAGTAAAACGTCCACACATCTTGGATTTCAAAGTCGGGGGTGGTGAGGTTCCTCCGACCTTCTGAGTCCAAATTCCGACTTGAGGGGGCGTTACAGTTGCAAATACTGACTCAGGGGTCGGAAACTCAAACGTCCAGGTTTAATTGAACGCTACATAACAATGTCTCCCCACCCTGTTTATAAAAGATGCAAAATCAGATAAGGCATCATGGTCCAATCAGTAATCCATAAAAAAAGGCTTAGACAACACAGTCTAATCAGATCTGGGCACTTTCCATTTCTCACGGAGCCGTGTGCAGCTCCAAGTGAAGCTAACACACAGTTCATAACCTGAGCCAACAATGTCAAACTATCATGTGAAGATGACTTATGTATTAGTGCAGAACAACAAGTGCTGATGTGATACAGCTGACTGCCAACGCATAGGATCCTTCAATAAAGCTATTTGCACATAGCATTAGTCATGCACAGCGAGAGCACAGGCAGGGTGTGTGCAGACAGGCAGGTCGGTTCATGACAGACAGGTATGCCAGCCAATCATTTACATTTGACAGTCCTGCGAGGGCCACAGACACTGACTATGGACTTTTTCTTTTCAGACCACTTGATTTATTGATGGCTAACAGGATGTGAAGGATGAGCATTTCAACGGATGAAAAGTGTTTTTCATAAACAAATTATCAACCCTACCTTAAATGTTGCTTTCATTGTATTCTGTTCAAATTCTATAGGGTGGAAGCCTCTGCGAATTACAATCAAGTCATGTAATTTGTCTTCTTTTATAAAAAATAAAAGAAGTAGTAAAACCACTGTGCAGTAAGAATATGCCAACCTTTCTCTGAAACAAAAAAGTGGACGACCTGCTCCTGAGTCACAGCAGCGAACAATAACACTTTATTCTGGAAAAGTCATAAAATAAGGTGCTGGGAAAAGGTCAAATTTATTTTCCTTTAAGTGACACTTTCAGGCTTTGAGAGAAGATTTGATGGCTGCATCAACTTTAAGGTTGTTCCAGTGCTTTATGTGAGTGTATTTTACCTTGAAGCTACTAAATCTGAAGAAATACTTTGTTCTTAGCCACGCATTTGTTTAGACAAGCATCATCAGTGTAATGTTCTGTGTAGTACAAGTGTGCTACGCAGTTACTGGAGTATTCCACTAGAGGGCACTCTACAAAACTCTGCATTGAACATGATGGCCCTAGAGTACGTTATATAGTTACTCCTGGTATTCATAGGAAGGCAAAGAAATAATTTCATCGTACAGAGACATATGACAATTGACACTTTGAACTTGAGATCAAAGCCAAAAAAAAGATGGCGGCAGCATGGTAGAGATACCGTTAAATCAACAACCTTATGGTAATATAATTATAATTCTAATTGCTTTGGCTTAATTTTTTCTTGTTTTCCGTGTAAAACCAATACGCTATGTTTTTTTTATTTCATCCACGGCCCCTGCACAAACGTAATCATGTTTTATCACTGTAACCATGACAACAACAAACATCCTGTGAACTAGGAATTGCCTTTTACAGTCCAAAACCATTTCAAACCCATTTTAAAACCTGTCCCTGAACGTAACCAATTCATAAGCTTAATTATGTGTTAATTATTTTAACCATGGCAAGGACGGTCCAATATGCCACTGTATGTACGCTGTGTATGTTATATATTATCACTACGATAACCAAGGTTGATTTGCATGCCACCAAA